TTCAAAATCATGAATGGCTGAGAATTTCTTAGAGGTGCCAGGTGACTGTCACAGTTGATAGCATATAGAAGGCTCCTGGATGTGTTTGCAGGCAGTTGATCTACCCTGTACATGAGCCTGAGGATTCTGGTAATAGGCTAATGTGAATCTCCATATTGAAAATTCCATAGAGAGGCACAATCTCTGTCTTTCCTTTTTAATAAGTGAGCAGCCATCAGTTCTTCTAGATTCAGCTCATGTTTTACTGTCTTTACAAAATGTTTCCAGAGTCATCATCCACATGTGAAATTGACCTCTTTCTTCTTGGTGCAAATCCTTGATGGAGGACATTTGTTTGTTCATTCAAACTGGATCAGGTCCTGTTAGATATCATTTGAAAAATTTAACTGACATAATAATTGTATAGGTTTATTGGGTACAGTGTGACATTTCAATACATACATACAATATGTAGTAATGAGATCAGGGTAATTGGTATATCTGTGACCTCAAATATTTATCATTTCTTTCTGTTGAGAACATTCAAAATTCTCACTATTAGCTTCTTTGGAGGATATAATTAATTTTTCAATCATAGACATCATTTTTTAAGGACGAAGGGTGACTTCAGCCATATTTCTGAATACCCAGAGTTATTTTTATGAAGATGATTGTTGCCTGGACTTGGTACAGCTGCCTTTAGAAGATTTAAGCATACTTATATACCTCAAACATAAAATCACATGTACACACACATTGACACAAACTCGTAGACATTTTATGTAGTAGAGTATCAGAGTCTGGTGTCATATTCCCAAACTCTTTCTATGGTATTAGAAATTCTTCAGCTAGGAAGTCAGCATTTCCTGTGGCCTTATAAAGGTTCTTATTTAGAGCTCTTGGTTTTGGGTGGCTAACTGATTGTCTTCTGAGTTTCATGCTAGATCGGATGATTTTCTCCTTACATTTGTATTAACATTCTCAATATGGATATGTCTCATCTGCTTGATCAATAAGGCTCCGATGTAAATTTTTTGGGCGTTATCTATTTCATCATACTAAGTACAGCAACTACATTTCAGTGGTCATTCTTATTTTTATATTCAATTATTAAATAATTTAGTTGTATGAGTTAAAATATATAGATTCTTTATAAGGCCTTTATATGACTTTGGATGTCTATGGCTTTAGTATATCTTCCTAGTACCTTCTGAAGTGGTTGTAATTTTGGTTAGAATAAAGAATACCTTCCAAGATGGCTGAAAGCTTCAAGATTGTTTGTTATCCCGATGTCATTCTTTCTATTCTGCCTTCCACCACCACAAATATCTCCTGCTGGCAGTAGCTGCTTGGCTGAAGTACCTGTGAAAATATCCTGACTGAGGATAGTAGACTTAGACTTCTGTGAATAAAAAATTTCTTACCAATCACATACAGTAGCACAATTTTGGTCCATACTTGGCATCTAACCAAGCACCTTTTCAAGGAAAACTTTCATTATTTGAGTGGACCAGAAAGATTAAGAAAAGAAAGTAGAAATACAGAAGGTTGCCATAGAAATAATGGGGATTGAAGTCAGGCCAATCTGACTTGGAACTTCGGGCCTGCCAAGTGTAAGCTATGTGATACCAGGCAAGTTTCCTGTTACAGTTCATATCTAGGTAGGTGGGGCTTTCAGGAGGTGACTGGGTCACAGGGGCATGATATTCCTCAGTAGACTAGCTTACTGATGAGTTTATAACTCATTGTACTCTTAGGAAGTGAAGCCTTGTTTGAGGAGGTGGGTCACTGGGAGTATGACCTGGAAGAGAGTAGCTCTATCACTCTTTTCCTCTTCTTTGATCTCAATCTGTCTGTCTGTCTGTGTCTCTTTCTCTCTCTGCTTCTTGTCTGCCATACCATGAACAAATCTCCTCTGCCCTGCTCCTCTACCCTGCCTTGGAGCCAGCTGACTAAGGACTGAAACATTTATAACCTATGAACCAAAATAAACCTTTCCTTCTTTAAGTTCTGGGTGTCTCAGAGTGAAAAAGTAACTAAGGAAAAAATAAAAGGGCCTCTCATCGTTAGAGCTCATTTAACTTTCAGAGATCAAGAACTCTTACATTTTGTAAATGAAAATAACACTACTAAACCCAGAGCTTCATAAATAGAACAATATCTTCTGTTTGTAAAGGTGATCACAGTACTAGAGTGATGTAAAAATAATAATAGTGAGATATTTCTTGGCAAACCTTTTGGGTAAAGGTTAGGAGAATATTCTGTGAGTTGTCTTGGGGTGAATGCTGTACCTGCAACTGCTACTGGTGAATATTTTCAGGGCAAATGGGGAATCGATTAACCTATATGAGCCTTAGATTTCTCATCAGAGGAGTGAGAGTGATAAATAGTGCTATTTGATAGCTTGTGAATATGAAATGGGGTTATACAGATTCTACACAATAAGTATTTTTAAAACATAAAACCCAGCCAGTTATTGAAGATTTGTCAGAAATAGATGATTAGGTTCTGTCTACTCTGAGAAGAAGCTTGAAGTGAATTTAAATAAAGAGGCAAATAAGAGAAAGGCCTAGTACTGTAGTAAGTCTGAAGGACAATGAGGTCTTTATGATAGGGAGTGCCATGAAAAAAGAAAAAAATAGTGGAATGTTGCATCTCTGTTACAAACTTGGTGCCAGACTGATTCTCTGTAATTTTTTTTTCTATATTTCCATAACACTTGAGCTATGCATTCAAGCCACTGTACAAAGGAGGGACTTGGAGCTCCCTTGGAGATGGGAAGGAGTTTAGTGCTACATGGTGGAGAAATGACAAAGCCTGAGTAACTGAACAGAGGTTCACGAGGGAAGCAAACCTTTCCTCAGTAAGATGGTTAATCTCAATTGTGTCACACTGATTGGCTTAAGAAACACTCAGGTGTTAATGGAGCACATTTCTGGGTGTGTCTGGGTTGCTCATGGAGGTGTGACCTTGAGTACCTCTATGGTACTTGGCCCCCTGTCTCTGCCACTGTTCCCCCTGCTCTGCTTCCTAATCCCACGGACAAAGCAGCTGTTCCAAGTCTTTCCACCATGATGTTCTTGTCTTGGAGCCAGCTGACCATGGACTGGATTCTCCAAATGCATGAGCCAGATTAAACCTACCCTTTAAACTGTGGGTATCAGTGATGAGAAAGCTGATAACACACCCAAGGAGGGAAAGGAGGTCAATGCTGTGGTGAGGTTAAGGGAGTGGTCACTATCAGTTGGATTCTTATAGTTTTAGGGATGATAGTTCATATGCAGTGATAGTATTTGTCCTCAGGAAAAAGATGCCGGGGAATAATTCCCATTACCTTTCCCAGTGTTTTAAGAAACAAATGACTTCTTAGATGATTTAGGAGACAAGGATTCTGTAGTTCTGGGTCTTTATTTTTTTCTTTCCAAAACTGACAGTAAAAGCAAATGTAGATTAAGATCCTCAGGCACCTGATTGTTTTATAATATTGCTTGAAGCCCATTTCACCACTCAGCAGAACGGCACTGAAACCAGTGAGTCCCTACACACACCAGCCACTGTGGTAAGCCCTGGAAATGTACAAGTGAACAAGTAGTCTTTGCTTCCATAGAACTTTCAGGAAGTTCAGGCCTTAAATAATTACACCGATAAAGCTACTGTAATTATAATAATGAAAAAAGCTATGGAAAGAGAGTGAAGTTTTAAAAAGTAATTATAACAGGAAGAAGAATCTATGAGGGAGCAGGGAGTAATTGCCATAGAAAAGCTACCCCAAGGCTGTGACATTTCAGTGGAGCTCTGAAAGATGAATAGGATTTTTCCAGTTGAAAAGGAAGGAGCTCCCTAGGCAGAGCACACACTTGTCTGCCATCCGGCATATCAATTCATGACCCTTTTTTTTAAAAAAATACCTACTCATGCTTTGATTTTGATATCAGTCTCACTGTACTCTGGGCATATTCTATTTCAGATAGGAGGTAATTGTCTTGGGCTTCACCCAGCAACTATCCTTGGCCTCCCTTGCTGGCTTTGGAGCTGGTTCATAGCTTCTTCTATATTGCTTTTTATATGATTCTTGGATTCTGCTTTCTTCTCCTTGCCTTGTGCTTGCACATTAAAGCCGAAGGTGAAGGGGAAAAATACATTTTTCATTTTAGGAAACGTTAGCTGCGTGAAGAGTGGTTCTCTGAGATGCCGAGCAAATTTAAATTGCGTCTCCTATTGGAATCAGCTGCTTGTGAACATAAGAAAATAGCATCTGTTTATTAAGGAAGCCACATGAAAATGCAGGACATGTTTGCAAAGGCTTATTATAGTACAAAGGCAATTGCTGCTTTGTTTATTCTGTTTGAGGCTAAGTCATTAGAATGATCCTTTTTCAGAGAATAAAAGTATGTAAGCCAGGTGTGGTGATGCAAACTTATAACCCCCAGAACTCCAGAGGCTGAGGCAGAAGGGCCGTAAGTCTGAGGCCAGCCAGAACTACATAGTGAGTTCAAGGCCAGTCTGAACTAAATAGAAAGACTTTGTCTAAAAAAGCCATAAAAAACTACTTAGCCTGAAATATTTTTGGCGGAATAATTACTTCCATTTTATTTAAAGATAAATGAAGTGATTAAAACCTTGACTGCAGAGGACATTGCTTATTTCAAGATGTCCAATATGTGGCCTATTCTTGGAAACTTCTTTCCAATATTCTTTGTACTACTGTATTGCTTTCACTGATGCTAATTGTTGCCAAAGTTGTAACTTTTCAATGCCTAAGTCTAATGTAAAGCTCTTGTTGCTCATATGATCGTCTTGTGTGCGTGGTACTACTGGGATGTTTTCTACTTATTAATTCAGAGATCCCTGCTTCTTTCATCTGCTCAGCTTTGCCCTCTTCTAAAGTTTTAGAGTCTTATGTAGGCTGGCAGATGAGAAAGGACAGAGAGGGTCCAACATGTGGAGTTGTCATGGACAAGGCTTTTGTGCCATTGGTCAGAACTCCACCACATGACCACACCCGGCAACAAGGGAGCCTGGGGATGCTTTCCAGTGGCCCATGTAGCAGAAAAAGGAACTCTTTGTTGATACTAAAGATGTTTATTTCTTTCCCTTGCTGCAGAAGATACTAAACCAAAAAAATGACAAAGCATGTGGCCCAGCCCTCACCTAATCTGCTCAGAAATGGGCTTAGGACCTAAGCTAGTCCAGTTACACTGGAAGTCCAGACTGTGTTGGGGTGGCTGGGTGTTCCATGTTGGAGATAAACAAGGGAATATGTTGTTCTACTTCAGAATTTTTCGGAGAAGAGGTGGGATGAGGGGAAGTGGCTCAGAGATCAAAACTGAGCCCAGAAATGACAGCCAAATGAGGTATTTATTGTTTCAGCTGTTCAATCAAGCTTTTTTACTAACACTACCTAGTTTCCAGTCAAAGGAGCCTATTTTTCTATTTCTTTATTTAATTAAATTTGAACTAGAGTGTCTCTCTTGAAAACTTGAAGTCCTGCAGATGGTATCATAAGTATACAATTTCCCAAAGACTTTGACAGTATGTATTACTTAAATGACTTTCTTTGGTATATGATTTAGCTGTTTCTTTAAGGCACTGTATTTATATTTGATTACACATTTACTAGTTCAACAAAGTTTACATACATTGTAGTTATTATGCTTTGTAAATCCCATCTGGGGCAGTTTCTATTAGCAACACTAAGTTCCCCCCTGGCGACTTTCTTGACTTTCTCTCTATTGGCAAATCAATCATTTTATTGTTTAAACTCCTTTCTTTAAAAATATTTGGTTTCAAACAAAGTTCAAGGTAGGGCAGAAAACCAAGTCTCTCCCTGTGGTTATATACACATGAATAATAGCATTGAGCATTTTTTTAACCCAGCACTTCTTAATAGTAAATCAGTGTAATGGTACATTCAAATCTGTTTATCAATATCCTGGTAAATCACAGAACTTGGAGATATATGATGTCATGTGAACAAAGAGAACTCTCTGGGTTTCCTTGGGATGAAAGAATGAGCAAAAGTCAGAGGAAGACTAAGCTATTTTATTAGTTAGGATATAGATTCAGCTTTGACAAAATAGATCTTAAACAAAATAGTTAATTTCTCTTTCACAGAGATATTTGAGCTTGCATAGGGCCTTTACTGTAAGAATTCTTCAGGGATAGCTCCTTCCCTCTTGCTGGTCTGTGTCACTGGGCTGTTGCACTTGTTCACAGGATCCAGGATGGCTCCTCAGCACGTCTGCATTTCAGCTGGGATGAAGATGGTGAGGGGAAAGGGAGAGAGTAAGTAAGAAAAAGTTAGAATATGCTACAGTAACAGCTTCTTCAGATTATCGGTGGCTTACATATTTATTGTAAGGACTAGGAGTTCTGCTTCAGGTTCCTATCACTTAGAGACACCAGATGATGAATTATCTGGGACACCTTGACGGCTTATGTGGGAGAAGGGCATGCCGGAGAGACTTGTCTCAGCACTTATCTAACTTTGCCCTTTACCTAGTGGCCAGGACTGATGACACATACCTAACTTCAAGGAGCAGGAGGCCAGGCTTACAGTGGAGTGTAAATAAATGGCTGTGATCACTACCACAGAAGACAATCCTATTTCAAGATGGCCTGGAAGTTGCACAAATCCATTTTTGGTGAATGGATTTGTCAGACTCTAGACATGTGGAAACTCCTTGGCGTAAAGGAAGCTGGTAAGTGTAGTCTTCATTTTTGTTGTACTGACTATGATTTCTTCACCTCTTTGTGATTCGTTCTTAAAGTTTCTATCCTTGTTCTTACACTACTTAGCTCTTTCTGCTAGAGATGAGTAGAGGACTTTTCTACTAGAGGGCATAGCATTTTAATCACAGTTATTTTACCTAATCATCTCCAAATCTCTGCCATATTGTTTGCCCCTGTTGCTTGCTTTATATCTTCAGACTATACTTTGTCTTGCCTTGTAGTATGCCTTAGAATTTTTTGTTGGAAGGCAGGCACCACGTAGTGTGTACTAGGATCTGAAGCAAATAGATTTTTATTGTGAAGTTTTATGTTCACCTTGATAGAGTTTATCCTCTCTTTACCATTTACATTAGCTACAGGTGCTTGGGATAGCCATTTTCTTTTTTGTCTCCCAGGATGTTTCCCCAGTAACTTCTTAAATAGCATCTTAATTTTGTAGCTCCTTCAGGTGTGGTCTCCTGAATGGATATTGGGGGACAGAGCAGTCTCGACATATTCACATCAATGGAGTCACAGATGAGAATGAGGCAGAGCTGAACTATCTGTGAGGGGCTTACAGAACTATCTGGGAGAGAAGAAATCAGCATTCTGAATCTGTTAAATAGAGAATCCCAAATGCTACTTTGTACCTGTGTCAGAAGGTACATCTGACCCTCATCAGTGTGCGCGGGGTGGGACCTAGGAAAGCAGTCTATACCCCAATGATTCACTCTGTCTTTTAGTGAGCATGTGACCTTGGACTATGTCTTCACAAGTAATTTTCATTGTTTTTTTTCCTTAGCTAGGTGAGATGGAAATGCTAGAAGGGGTACTCAGTTTGGATATTTTCCATTTGCCATAGGCTTTGATTATTTTGCCTCAAGGGTTGATGAAGAAGAGATAGATTTCAGCATATTTTGAAATGTTTACTTTCTTTCTTTTCCTATTGGAAGTACAAAGAGACTCTTCTAATCTTTCCCACAAACGTGGTGATATTACTGGAGCTATAACTCATGAATATATGGGGTTTCTCCCTTCAACTGGAACCCAAACAATTTTAGCTCTTAAAGTGGTCTGTCTTCTGCCTCTAGCAGTTTATCGCTTACAGTTTAAATTTTCCTACCCGGGGCTGGGGATTTAGCTCAGCGGCAAAAGCGCCTGCCTGGCAAGCACAAGGTCGTGAGTTCGGTTCCCGGTACCGGAGAAAAACAAAAAAACAAAAAAAAATAAATTTTCCTACCCATTCCTGAATTTAGCAGCTTCTACTCCTGCTCTGTGTGTGCCTCTCTTAGTTTTTGAGGCACTGATTTCTCCTGTGACCTAAATCCTCTGACAGATCTAAGAAGAGTTGTTGATTTCTGACTTGGGCTGTGTTTTTCTTTGTTCTTTCTATGAGGACTTCCTAGTTATTTACATGTCAGAGAGGAAGCTCATTGTAAACAGTGTGTTCATCATTACAATGATGTCACCTGGGACCTGTGGTCTTTATTACTAGAAGCCATGTGCTCAGCTAACAAATGGGGTTACATTACTACATAATAGTGAGAGGAGAATGGATATTGGGGTTAATAGCATTCTCAACACATCCACATCGACGGGCCACAGATGAGAATCGTGTGCAGCTTAGGTATCTGTGAGGGACCCACAGAACTGTCCATTAGGGAACACTTGGAACAGGTAAGCACAGAGAATCCCAATGCTAGTTTATAACTGTGTCAGTAACGTTAGAACTTTCTGTCCTTTGTCTCTCTTCCTTTGTCACCTGCAACCCTGGAGAGCTGCTGGAGTCTAATGACTGGGCAAGTGGAGTGGAGACGCACTGATACAAAAGCTAACCTTCGCTACACTCCAGCACACACGGGCAGGCAGTAATTGGATGAATTAGAGTTTTAATGTTAGAATGGAGAAAAGTTTTTATTACTAGACTGCAGCCAGAGGAGAGCTGAGTTACTGGAACTATTGCAGAAGCTGTGACAGACTGTCAGTTGGCTGCTTTTTCTCCATTACCTTCTTTTTAACAGACTTGCATTTTCACCTGTGCACATTGGACTCCACCTGAGAGATACCTTCGACTGCTTTCTTTGAAGCTAGAAATGTCCCCACAGCTATGTTTCTGGGCAATAAACTGTAAGCAGAAGTACTAAGTTGTATTTCTTTTTTTGTTTGTTTGTTTGTTTTCTGGTACCAGGAATCAAACTCATGACCTCGGGCTTGCCAGGCAGGCGCTGTGCCTCTGAGCTAAATCCCCAGCCCCAGTAAATTGTATTTCTGATACATATCTTTAAGTACTCCCTCCCATCCCTTTTTGTTTATTGCAGTCTTTGGTAGCTGGATCTCTTGCAGCCATTTTGGGCCATGAGGAAGTGGCTGATGGTGTCACACTTTATGTTGGGGGAACTACAAGGTAGAAAAACCAGAGTCCTTAAAGAAAGTGAAGCAGCAATACCAGCCTTGGTCATTTCACCCAAAGAGTAGTTTTGTCAGAGATACAAATATATTTTGTTTCATGTAATCCACTCATTTTGAGGGTTTCTTCCTCTCCTCATACAAGGTAATTATAATTGACATAAAGCCTGTCTAAAATTCCACATGTGCTGGTGTGGACATAGGCAGTGACATGGTGGCTGGTTTGCGGGTCTGCCATGGTGAGAAAGAACAAACTTTTTCTTTGAGTTTGGCTCATTCAATGAACCAGTTGGGAAATAGCTAGCTCATAGCTGAGCAGGATTTTTTTTACACAAACTGGAAAAGAAGAGGGAAGGGCTTATTAGCGTAGGTGCTTTGTGAAGGGGACATCAGCATGAGATTAAATATACAATGAGTTTATTAGAAAAGCAGCTGTGAGAGAGAAAATAATATGGGAGCCAAGTGAAGCTGGGAGAACCATCTGTGTGCTGGGCAGCTGTGACCCCACAGGAAGAGAGAGGTGGAGAACATCGGACAGTAATGTTCTGTAATGTCCTGTAGTCAAGGGAAGGTTGGGAAAAGCCATCAGGAATTCTTGGATCCAAAACTGACCCTTGAGAAATTCTGTGTCTCCCAAAGGCAGGTCTGGTTTAATACCACACTCAGTCACTGGGCGAGGGTAATTCACGCATGGCATGGCCCATGTACAAACCTTGCTGAGAGTTTCAGAAATCAGCAGCTAGAACCCCTGATAATTATACCCCCTAAAGTAAGTGACCAGTGATGGACCTTTTGGGCCTACCGGAGAAGAGAAGAAAATCATCTACCAATAGTTGGTCTCTAGAGGTGCACAGAGGACCACTGTACAAAACACAGGCTTGTGCAACAGCCTGTGTCCAACAGGACCAAGAGCTGCTACCAGATTTTTCTGCAAGAGCTGAAGAAGCACATGAATAATGACAGCTCAGGAGCTAACCTGAAGCTGATGCAAAAAGACCGGGATGTGCACGAAAACATAGACTATGAGGTCAAATAATACCAACATCAGCTGTTGGACAGCAAGGTTCTCTGCAGTTTCAGTTTCACTTGTGCCACCCAAATCAGTGTGGATTTGTCCATACTTTAAGTGTAAAAGGTGAGAGTTCCACAATGCTAAAGGTAAGATCACCACAAAAGTCAGCCAGAGGTTTCTCAAAGTGAAGTATGCATAGCAGTGCTAATGTGTGATGCGGCTTAGGGAGCCCACAGACAAAACCCTTGAATAGTTACACATTTGTTTTTAGGGTTCATGGATAGTGATATAGTTCCAGCTACAACACATTTTTTTTTTTCAATTTAAACTTTTTATGGCACTTATAGGTTCATACTAAAACTGGGCAGAAGATAGAGTTTTCCCTTATGCTCCTTACCGTACATAGGCATAACCTCCCTTATTATCATTTAATTTTAATCTTAGCACTTTATTGAAATTAAAAAAACTATTAAACACATGCAGATGACGATGACTGTAGCAACAATTGTCAAGAGAAGAGATCATCCCCCAGGCTCACGCAGCCACCAGTGAAGCGGGCAAGAAAGTCAACACCTCCGACTCTTTCTCTGCCCTTTTCTTGCTTCTCTAAGAATGCTCGGCTCCCCAAACAGGGGAGCTGGTTAGAGTGTGACCTGGGTGGCATGTTCTTTAGAGAAGCGGGGCCACTGTGGAACAATAGCAGGGGTCTAAAGAGGGTCCCAAAGGCCAGTTCGATGTGCACATTTAGGTGAGTCAAACGGGAGAAAGTGAGATTCAATGTCCAGAAGACCAGGACAGGCTGTGCACAGTACATTCATGCGGACTGAAAAGAAGTATAAAGCCCTGCCCAGGAAGTCGGTTAGAGCCTGGGGGAGTCCAGAAGGAGGTAGGTCTTGGAGAAGCTCAGAGAGGAGAGATTGGTGGGCAGAATCTTGCCCAAGCAGTTTTCTGTGGGGTATCTTGACTTTGGCAATGGGAAGGAGCTATTTCAGGATAGGGCCACTTCTAACAGCGACACTTACTGTTGGAGAGTTTTAAAGGCTGTATTTTGGTTTTTATTTGTAACTTTGAGAAGGTAGATAGAAATTTAACTACATTTTAAGTATGACCCTTGCAAGTGGGTGGAAGTTTTACATTCTTGAGTTTGCTGTGCACATAGTAAGCATGCGATAAATGTGAAGAATAAGCAATTGAATGTTTGATGTCATGACTGATCAGCAAGTGAAAATAAACACTTTGGGAAACTCCCTCATTGTCGTATAATTTCTTTCCTCCTTTTGTTTCTGAGCCTCTGCTATGATGCCTGTAAGAAACAGAATGATGTCATTCAGGACATGTCTTAGGAACCAGCAGAGAACACAATGTAGAGGAGACCGCGAGGACAGGGACAAAAAGTAAACAGTTCAGCATAGTCAGCTATGCTCATTACTTGGGACTGCTACATAATTTACAGTCTTATCCTCTTACAGTGCGTGCTCCCTGCTGACTCTGACTGTTTTAAGGAATCCAGGGAATGAGATGTCCAGGGCGTGAGCACTGTTATTTCACTGGTTTTGCTGGGATAAGAGCTTGAGCCTCAGACTGATTGTAGGCAGCCTGCTGGGTAAAGGGTGCACTGATGTCACTGATTCTCAGATCCACGCCCCACACATCCCTTTTAATCAGGAGATGTACATCTTCTTTAAGAACTCAGCAGCTCTCCTGCATCAAAATTACTATGATTCAAATAATAGAATGTACTACCACAAAACAGTGCTTTATCTCTATGATAGCTACCGAAAGATGTTTGGCCCATGGTAGATATAAAAAGCATCTGTTAATTAAATACATTTTAAGTTTTATTCTAATTGTTATACATTTATTTTATATATAGATTCAAGTATGATAAACACTTAATATTTCTCTGTTGTGTGTCAGTTTCTTTGAAGGTCAAGATTAGACACAGTTCAATCAATTAGAAAAGTAATATATTCCAAGGGCTAAGGAGGGAACACTGAATGAGTCTTCACGATTCCTGACTTCTGTGTTGGCTCTATCAGGAAAAATAATAATTACCATTTATGGCATGCTTCCAATATGCTAGACACATTACATATAGTGTCTTCTTTAATCCTCACCATGAGGCTGTATAGAAGAAACACCAGGGGTGCTTACTTCTCCACCGTGATCCAGTCTCTGGTTTTCTCCTGCTTTGGAACACCACTAGACCTCATTTCTCAGGCCCAGTGCTTCAGGAGTGAGTACACAACTAGTTCTCACCCATGGATAGGAACACAGGTGATGTAGGTCACTGTGGTCAGTGTGGGTAACAGCTCATGTACTTTCCTCTCACTTTCTTCTCTCTTCTATCTACCATCTGAGAACAGAGGCAGGGTCCTAGAAAATGGCAGCACCATGTGGTGAAAGCTAGCAATATTAGCTCCATTTCACAGAAGAGGACCACTGAGGCTAGAGAGATCAAGCACTTCTCACAGCTATACAAGGGGAAACAATGGGATTTGATTAAGCAGTTAATTCAGCACATATTTATAATTACCAAGTGCACAAGTTACCATGTAAACTACAGATGCTGCAGCTTTCTTAAGTCTTAATTCCGTCTGTTGTGTTGGGGATGTTAAGATTATCTTACAGGCCTGTTATGGGGACTAATGTGCCTGTCCAGTTTGGTTTTTATCTAATTCGGTTTGTGACTACAATCATAAAAGATTAAGTTTGTGAGCTGAGGTACCGCTCCATTTGATAATTTCCCTGAGTCTCAGTTTTCCTATCTGTAAAATTGGGATAATATTGACTCCAAATACCTTCTTAGAATTGTTCTGAGGGTAGAATGCTGTTATACCCCTGAGTGTGATCTATAAGTGCTAAAAAACCAAACACATAGGTCCTTATTGCAGTAATACTTTTGTGGTTCAGCTGTAGTTGCATCTGGAAGAAAATTTCAGCACCTGAAAAAAAATGAAAAAATGATAGCACTTCATTTTCCAAAGTTGGAAGAAATGATGTGCTTGCTCACCAGTCCGACCTGACTACCGATGGCTGTGGCCAATTTCTTCTGGCTCTTTTGAGGGTGCGTAGTTCTACACCCAGGATACCATGGATAATGCAGATGGGTGCTACTCTGTGAATTCACTAGAAGGGACAGGAAAGATGCAAAAGATTCACTGATTAATTAATTTTCTTATTTGTTAATTCAACATTTTGAGAACCTGATAAATGTGGTCCTGGGGGTACCAATTTGGAAGAAGTTATAGTCTTGATCTTGCTTTCAAGTTGCTCATAATATAGTGGAAGAAAATAGACATCTATGTAACATAACAGGCGCAACAATGGAATTAAATTCAGAGTACTCTGGAAAAACAAAGGAGGTATACTTACACCTTTGGGGGACAGAGCGGCTTTTTGCAGGGAGTGGCTTCTTGAATCTCTGAAGTCTTGTCAGGTGGAAGGGTGGGGAAGGTGGGGGAAGAAGGTTACCCTGTGATGAAAGTGAGAAATAGCACAGGACTGTGTGACACCATAAGCAGTGGTGTTTCTGCGGTGAAAGTGGGTGTGTGTGAGAGAGTGTGCTGTGTGGGTAAAGGGATGGCAGAACGAAGGGAACACATCAATGAAATTTTATCCACAGCGGGCACATTGAAGGGGTGAATGGTGGCTGTGGAGGGAGTCAGAGTTGCTGGCAGTTATGTTGGGAGAAATGCTATCATACTAACTTCCAAGAGAGA